GCGGTGCCCCCAGGGGACCTTTTGGTGCCTGAGCCAGGGCTGGTGAGGACGCACACCGCCCTCTCTCCGCACCCTGCCCCGGCACCAGGCCCACCCTGCCAGCCGGCTTGTCCCCTGGTCCCCAAGGCAGGCTTTGTGCTTGGGGTTTTCTTTCTCTCTTTCAACTCAGCGATGCCTACCCCCCAGCGCTGCCACTGCAGCACAAATCACAGGTGGGAGGTCGGGGTCCCCCACAGCATCTGCTCAGGGTGCTTATAAATCTCCACAGGGACAATGGCAGCTGTGTCACACGGTAGGGCTGCTCGGCTAGAGGGGGCCTGGGGCCCCATGGGCTGTGCGGGACCCCACAGTGCCATGGAAACCGGCCCTGAGGGGAAGGTTGTAGAAGGCCTGACCTGGCTGGCCGGAGCCTGTGGGTTTTCAACCCCAAGCCCACTGTCCCATGCCCCTGTTCCTCTGGCTGAGGGCTCCCCACTCCCACACTGGCCAGAGCGAGGACATGAGGCACCAGTCACTGTGGCAGAAACCTCCCAATCTGAGCCTTCTCCCGGAAACCAGGAGATCGGGGACACAGGCTGCATCAGCGTGGGGTGCAGCTGCCACACCAGAAGGGCCTGTCCCTACCACGCTTCCACGCCCACTGCCCCAGCACCTCCCTGATGCCCGCCTCTGTCCTCCTTCCTCACGACCCAGGGCTGGGGGACCATGAGGGCAGAGCAGGGCTCACCCCAGCAGGGACAAAGATGGGGCAGGGGCCCCCCCAGGAATGGGCCAGGCCCAGGGCTGGGGACACAGATGCTGAGTCCCAGCCAGGGGAGTCGGCTTCAGATGAGAGGGGTTGGGGGCCAGAGATGTGGCCCCGCTGCCAAGGAGAGTGTGGGGCGGTGGCTCAGCGGGTTAGGGCTCCCTTTAGGGTGACGTGGCGGGTTGCATGCTTGAAAATGATCAAGGGTATGCAACGCGGATTTCACTGCACTTAGAAGCCTGACTACCGCCCAGCCCGGGCCAGGCACAGCGAAGCAGGGTTCGGCATCATTCAGCACCCAGCTTGGGGGCAACCCGATAAGTCACGGGAGGATGTGCACGCTTGGCCCAGAGGTCCTTCAGAAAGTGTCCAAGGAAATCGGAGTGAAGACGTGTGGACCAGCAGGCTGGGGACAGTGCTAATGAAAGACAGATTCCAGAAACAAGCTAATGGTTGCTGCAATAGTTCTCTGTTGTCCTGTAGGAGATCCACAAACTTAACCCCGCAAAGCCCCACTTCCCAGTTTGCAGCCCTGTGAGCTAGAAGTCCCAGCAGGGGCTGGTCCTCACCCAGGGGACTTGGGGTCCACGAGCTGCTCACTCCAGACCCAGGACCCCTCATGACTCGTGCAGTGGGTGGATTCACTTCCACTTCCAGGCGCTCTGGGGGAAGGAAGTCCCCGGGCAGGAGTCCCCCACAGGCCCTGGAGCCCACTGTCAAGCCCTCTCCTCCTGTCCCCGTGGCCGTTATCCTCCAACAGTCTCGGGCCAAGCTCCTCTGCTCAGCCTCAGCGTGGCCACTCAGACGTCCTCTGCACTCTCACCGAGGGTGCTATTGCTGATCCACACGATGCTGGATACCATGCAGCAATGCCAGCAGATGCAGGATATGGTTAGCACATTACCATTATTTAAAAGACGATACTGGGAGGCTGAGGCAAGAGGATCGCCACGAGTTTGAGGCCAGCCTGGGCTACATAGTGAGTTCAAGGCCGGCCTAAACTACACAGCCAGACCCTGCCTCAAAAATAAATAAATAAAAGTAAAGACAATAAAACCAAGCCTCAGAGTTTTGTAACTTATCCTGGGTCACACAGCAAGAAAATGACAGAGCTAGGATTAGAACCCACTTACTTCATCCTAATGTCGCAATAGCTGTCATTCATTTCTATTTTCTTTTTTTATTCATCAAGTTTATTGGTCCATTTTAGGTATACAATATGATGACATTCATCATTGGGAATTTGTACCTTTACAAGATATATCTTTTTTTTTTTTTGGTACCGGAGATCGAACTTGGGTCCTTGAGCTTGTGCAGCAGGCGGCGAAACCACTGAGCTAAATCCCCGGCCCTACAAGTTCTATCTCGGTTCTCATTTTTTACAAAGACTTTGTTTCCATTTTTTCCTTTTCTTTATTTTCTTCTTAAAGGAGAAAATACGCATGTGCTGCCTAAATGCAGTTTGCTTGGCAGACAATTATTCCAGAGGTGAGGGGGAGGGAGACACAAAGGGACCCCGACGGCGAGGAGCCCACACTGCACATCCCCCCGCTGGGGCTGCTCCCCAGCCTCCTCTTACTGTGCCCAGGCCAGAAGTCACCACCTTGGGGTTCAGGCTGCTCCTCAAGGATGCTGCCATCACCCCCACCCCAGCAGTGCACAGTGTGGTCCCAGAGTCGCCATGGCAACAACTGGGGCCCATTCACACGCAAGGCAGAGAGCTGTCTGTCTCTCCCCACTGAGGCTTCAAGGAATGACTCCCTCCTCTATTCAACAAATATCTACGGTGTCACCCGGGGTGACCGACTCCCCAGGCACTTCCAGGCCGATGGCAACACCGAGGCGCTAAGGAGAGGAGGGAGGACTGAGGAGGACTGAGGCCAGAGACTCAGGCTTTCCTCCTTCGGATCCAGAGCTGCCGGACAGGTGGAGAGGACAGAGCCCAGGCTAGGGATGGCTGGGCGGAGCCAGCACACAGGAAAAAGCGGAAATTCCCACCCTCTGCCTGAGGAGGTGCCGACGATCCAAGCTGCGTCGGCGCAGTCCAGGCTCTGCGTGCGGCTTGGGGAGCCAGGCAGGGCCGCACTGCTCCCTGTCCAGCCTGGGGCTCCGGGGAGCCCATCTCTCCAGCCTTCGACGTGCGCCAGCCGTGTGCCAGGCCCACCCTGGAGAGGCTCGAGGGTAGGAGAGGGAGGAAGAGGCCCGTGGAGGACTGGAGAGCGTGTTCATGGCTGGGGCTACCTCAGCAAACTACGCCTCACTCTGTCTTCACCATCTTTTCCTCGTTTCTCCCATCTGGTCTCCCTGTCTCAAATCTCCCTGTCCCGTCATGGGAAACGTAAGCACATCTGTAAGATGCTTTTCCCACTGAGGCCCCTCGCCCAAGTCCTGGGTATGGGCCTGTCCTCTGGGAGCCACCATTCAGCTCCCTGCACAGGGCATGGGGAACCTCCTGGAAGCAGCAGCTGGGAACTGAGTGCTGAGCCACCCCCATCTCTATTTCTTGAAGAGTAGCTGAACTTTGGGCTCTTGTTCTTATCTCTGCTCTGCAGCTCACTGTGGAGTAGGCCACCTCTCCCCTGGCCACCACCACACCCCAGAGTAGAGGGCCGGCAGGAGAGCAGGGCAAAGTAGGGAAACTGAGGCACCCTGGATGGGTCAGCACTCACCACCACCATGTGCTGGGCCCGGAGCTGCAGGCAGGTGGTACGGCCACATTGCCCGGCCACAGCAAGGCATGTGGGTCTCCCAAAGGTCACAGAGAGCTAGGGCCTGGCTGGATCTGAGATGCATGGCACTCACCCCCAAAACTCCCAGAGAGCAGGCAAGTTTTGAGAACAGGCTGGGAGAGCACACAGCTTTTCCTGGTTCTATCGCCATGCTGGCTCTGGGGAGGCCAGTCCCACCACCCCCAGGCCCCACACCGAGGGCAGAGTCCAGTGCTCCCACCACAGCCCCACTGAGCTTTCAGACACCAGCTGGAAGCAGCTGCCAGGCCCAAGAGGCCAGCCTGAGTGTCCAGGCCCCACAGCCAAACCAAGAGAAGTCTCTGCCCTGGAGAACTGCCCTGCTGAGCCCTTCCTGAGTGGCCGCCCCAAATTGAAGGCAAATGAACCACTAGCTGCTTAGGGCGGGGTGGGGTCACACAGAGAAACCTGACTGTAGCAGTCCTGGGAATCAGTGAGCTGAGGTCGGACCATGCCAGGCAGACCCAAGCAGACCCCAGGGGGCCTGACAAGGGGTCGAGGACAGCAGGGCCATCCCACCAGCACTGCCAGGACCCTCCAACTCTGTGCCACACTTCCCCAGGGAAGCCCCCCAGGACAGCCCAGCTGGGTGCAGGGCCTCCTGACCTTCCCACCCACGAGGGTGCCTCTCTGTTGTGTGCAGACACTTGTCTTTTGCCACTGGATGACCTGCCTGGGTCAGCACCCAGCTTGTGGCCAGGGTTCCAGAAAGCTCTGCATTCACCCAGCGCTTCTTATTGGAGGAGCCTCCCTTCCGACCCCGCCCACCTGCAACACTGGACAGAAAAAGGGAGGTGTCCTTCGCCCACCTGGAACTGGAATTGCTTGGTCTGGGATGGAGGCTGCTGTCCTTCCAAAGTGCTCTCAGTGGCCCTGGCTCACAGCCTTGGGGAGCCGCTCATTCCTGGCGCACCTCCCAGGCAATAGGTGACATTGCTGCCCACTTTGTGAATGAGGAAACTGAGGCTCAGAGAGGTGACCTAACTCACCCCAAGTCACACAGCTGCCAGCAGCTGAACAGACATTAGAACCCAGGTGCAGCAGGGGCTGCCCGGCTGTGGGGTGACCTCGGCTCTGCAGCCCCAGAGTATGGCAACCTGCCATCACACCACTGTCTCTCGCCCGGGGCCCTGCACCCTGCCAGGCTGCAGTACCGTCTCAGGAGCCCTGAGTTCAAGCCCCAGCTCTGCTGCTTTCTCCCTGGTGACCTTGGGAATTCATCTGACTCAGTTTCCATAAAACAGGGACAAAAACAGTGCCTACTTCTTACAATTTTTTTTTTTTTTGGTACCAGGGATCAAACTTGGGTCCTTCCACTTGCGAGGCAGGCGGTGGAACCATTAAGCTAAATCCCTGGGCCCTTACTTCTTAAAATTGTTAAGAATAAGCTCCCGACTGTGCCCGGCCCGGCCCAGCCCCAGGCAGCCGCAGCTGCCTGTGACATCTGAACAGGAAGACAGGCTTTGTTCTCTCAGTAAAGAAACTGCAAGACAAAGCAGAAGCCAAAGTTTTGTTGTTTTTTTTTTTTAAAAACACAACATTTATTTCTGTAAACTGCTTGGTGCCAGAGCTGTCTTCGCAGCACATACAGCAGTTTTCCTCCCAAAATGGAAGGAGCGAGGAGAAAGGAAAAAGAACCTAGAAAGAGTGCTCACAAGGGACCAAGCCAATCCCACCTTCCTGCACACGGCAAGGCTAGCCTGGGGTGCCGGGCTCGAGTCACCCCCTCCTGAAGTCCCGCTCCCCAGGCGCCCTCCGTGAGCCCGAGGCCAGCCTGGAAATGGTCCTCAGACCTGAGTCTCCTCACTCGGGAGGATTCAGCCCGGAGGGTGGGGACGGGGGTTCCAGACCCGATGGCTAAGCTACTGCCGGGCACGTTTTAAGGCAAATGTTATAATTTCTTATTTGGTCCGAGCCAGACCTAGACTTCTCCCCAACGAGCAACACTACCTCCATGCAATTTTGGGCAGGGGGGGATGAGGGCCCAGGAGCATTTGCAGGAGGCCTGCACCCGCTGATGGGTCAATGTGTGTGTTCAGGAAGGCTGTGGCAGCCTCCGGTGCAGCAGCAGCCTAGCAGGAAGCAGGAGGCCCAAGGAAACCAAGATGGCACAGGTCAGGGCCAGAAGCAATAAGAGGCCATGGTGCCCAGACCAGGCGGGCTATGAGGAGCACAGGGAAACACCAGGCACGGCCACCCCGGGAGGCACGTTGGGGCTGACGACGTACATGGCCTCGGCATCAAAATGATTTTTCTCTAGAAAAAGGAAAGAGAAGAAAAGAAGATCAAAGGAAGATGTTCTGTGAGCATCGAGAGACAGCGGGGTCTGGAGGGGACAGAAAGGGGCCTGCGCTGCAGACACAGGTGGCGGGGAGGCCTCTCCTCGCCTGTCCTCTCCTGGTGGGCTGCGGCGAGGCCGGCGGTCCCCTCCCGGGACAGGACGGGGGCGACTGGGCAGGGTTACTCTGTCTGGGCGTCGTAATTCACGCCCCCCGCCTTCTTCAGCTCGTTCTTGATGAAATCTTCCTCCAGCTCCTTCCGATCGCTGATCACGAACTCTTTAGCAAAATTCTGCAAGAAAAGGAAAACAGAGTCCCGTCAGGAGGAAGGAGCCGCGCGTTGCTCGGGCGACACGGCGGGAGTCTCAGTGCCCAAGACTTCCACAAAGGCTCGAACGCGGTGGCGGCGACAGCAGCGCTGTCTGCCAGAAAACGGCCGGGCAGGGACCAAGAACTGACGCACTGCGTGGGCCTTGGTCTGCAGGCCGGGGCCAGACCCGGGTGTGACTCACTGGCACCGCCTGGCGGTCACCGAGGTTGCGTCCCTCCTCTGGGAAAGCCGGGGTGCCGGGGAGGAGCGGTCGGAAAGGCAGGCTCGGAAAGGCAGGCGGGGCGCAGATAAGAGTGACACCCGGCTCTCTGGAAGAAAAGGAGCGATGGAAAGGGAGGGAAGGAAGAGGAAACAGGAAGGGGAGAGGGGAAACGCCAGGCCTGGGTTTGGAGAGCGGCCGTGTGGTGCGAGTTCTCACAGCTGATTTCCGATATCCCGTGTGCGGGGCGGAGGCAGGCAGGGTTGACCCACAGGTGGCTTTGGCCACTGCCAGGCACAATGACGCAGCGGCTTCTGGCTGGGTCTGAGGCTCGGCCTGGCAGGGCGCTAGGATTCCCAGTCGCCCTCATTTACTTGCGCACAGGGACTTGGTTTGCATTCATTCAACAAACACGGCGGCAGGAAGGATGAGGACATGGTTAGGGTGGCTCGTGGTGCGCGGGTCCCCGTGCATATGGCGCGTGGCCGGGCTAGCGGGTGGTCTGGCTCACTGGCTCACCCAAGGCTCGGGATGGATGGGCACTGTCTGCGGGTCTCGAGACTTCGACAGAGAAGGGGGTGGCAGGATGAGAGAGGGGCCAAAAACGTGAGTCTGGGGCCGGGGATGGAACTCAGGCTCGAGGTCCTCAGTTCCATCCTTGGTACAAAAAAGAGTATGAGTCTAGAGCTCAGAAAAATGAGCCACCGAAGGCCCCAGAAGGAAGCGGAGTGCACAGCAGCGACCATCATTAAGCACCTGGGTGGGCGTTCACCGACCACACTCGTCCCTAGTCCCTAAGATCCCCACAGGCAGCGGTGCGGTCACGCAGCCGGGCTCACGCTCGCCTGACGCCCCTACGCAGCCTCGCCCATCACACACCAGGCCCCAAAAAGGCAACTCCACCACAGCCTGCAGGCGAGGTTCCGGTGGGCGGAGACAGGAACAGGAAGTGACAGAGGCGTCCTCAGACTGCAGGGCCTTGAAGGCTGTGCAGCTCCGCACCGTAACCGAAAATCGCTGACGGCTGCAAAAGGGCGAGCTGGCGCTGCGCCTGGAATCAGATCTCCCCTAAAGCGTGTTCTAAAAACGGCCGAGGACGAGCAATGTTACCTCCACTGGGAAGATGAGAGCCCCCAGACCCTGCCCTGTGGTTCACAGCAAGGTCGGGCAAGAGCAAAGCTGGCCCCAGAGGGTCCCTCTCGTTCTGGGGAAACGACAGTTTCTTGGAACTAGATGGGTGGTGCTTGCACAACACTGTGAATGTCCTAAATGCCATGAACTGGGGGCCTTTAAAATGGCTAGTGAGTCAGAAGAATCCGCCACCAAAACCTGGCTGTGAGCCAACACTCAGGAGGCTGAGGCAGGAGGCTCTCTGTGAGCTCAAGGCCCTCCTAAGCTACACAGCAAGACCCTGTCTCAAAAAGTTTTTTTAAATAAATGGATAATTTTATGTGAAGCAAATTTCACCCCAATTTTAAGAAAACAAAAGTCTCCAGAGCCCTCAAGGTCGAGTTTGGAGGTATTAACCATTCACTGAGCAAAGCCCCAAGCCCATCACCAGAGAGGGATGCAGGGTGGTGGGTAAGATTCACTGAGAGCTGGCAGGCGTCAGGCACAGGTTTCTCTGGGAGCCCCGTTATCAGCTTCGTGTTTGGTTAAGATAAAGCTCCAGGCTGAGCTGAGCTGAGCCTGGCCCAGACCCCTGGCAGAGCTGCACTGGGACGTGCGTGTGGGCGATCACTGCAGCACTGAAAGCCAGAGGCGGAACTTCGAAGCTATTTCTTCCTCATCCCCGAGCCCTGGCCTGGGGGAGGGGCCGACCGCCCGGGCAAGTCAGGAAGCCGCCCGCCTCACTAGAAGGAAGTCCAAAGTTCCCTGGCCCGTGATAGCTATATATGGCAATGTAAAGAAGCGGTGGACACCTGATATTTTTCCTCAGTCAGCTATTAGGAGATCTAGATTAAGAAGAAAGAAGTTTAGAGCCAGGTGCACACCTGTAACCTAGCCCTTTGGGAGGCTGAGGCAGGAGGATTGCAAATTCAACCCCAGCCTGGATAACATTAACAACTTAGAGAGACTCTGTTTCAAAATAAAAAATAAAAAGGGGTGGGGACAGAGCTCAGTGTGAAGCCCCTGGGTTCAGTCCCCAGTACAAAAGAAAAAGGGAAATAAATTTGATAAGACGCCTAAAGGGTAAGAGACAGGAACTGTACACAGCTCAACTGAAACCACAAGTGTGGGGCAAACCAAACACTAGCCAATCTCACAAGTAGTGCAGGACAGCAGAGTCCAGCACGGTGTGGCGGAACAAACCCCTCTGAAGAGCAGGCTGGGACCCGAACGACAGAACCAAGGCAGCCCCCCAGAGGATTAGCAAGAAAAAGGTTCCAAATCACAGCAGAAAGCGCGTGGTGTCGCTGGGAGTGTTCAGAGAAACTGAGTCACTGTGATGAACAGGGCCACAGCACTGGACGCCCCTCCACCAGGAGTCCTCTCCTTCCACTCTCAGCAGAAGAGTGGCAGAGGGCAGCACCTGAAGGAGACATGCTTTTGGCTTGTCTCAAAAGTGAAACTTAAGGCAGAAACCGAGCGACCCCAGCCCTGGCCAGACGGCCGGGGACGCTGCCCCACCACAGCTGAAGCCACAAGAACAGATCCATGCACGCACAGGGCCTCCCCCACAGCCACGGGGCCAGCGGCGACGGGAAGGCCCAGGACGGGTCCTTATTCGGAGTGTTTTAGGGTCTTACAGATCGCAGCCACGGTGACAAGGTAAAAGAGAGCCAGGTGGCACTAAGTTTAGTTGTGTTTTACCCAAATATCTGTACCCCAAACATTGTCACTTCATGGTGCTCAGTCCTAGAAATCACCTAAGGTAAGCCCTTGCTGTCAGCCGCCAATGGGTTGATGAGGAAACGGGCAGGGTGCGGGGTGGGGCTTGGGGGCAACACTTGCCCAGCCTGTGCCAGACCCTGGGTTCCACGTCCAGGAGCAAAACTTCGGGGGGTGGGGCTGAAAGAACAGAGCCCACCTGGTGGGGTCCTGGCCACCAGATCCCCGACCCTAACCCCGCCTCAGGCTGCTGCCCTTCCCCATGCCCACATCGGCAGCCTCGGGCTGCCAGGCAGCCAGGCAGAGCTCTGAGCAGGACGTCCCGGCTCCCGAGGCTCTAGAAAGCCCTTTCTCGTTCTGTGCAGGAACGCACCGTCCGACGCTCCGGACAAGGCCTTCCCTCTTGGGCCACAACTGGACTCCAGCAAGTCGCACTCCCAGCAGCTTCGGCCACCCTCAGAACGGCTCGGAAACATGAGAGCACCAAGCCAAGGACGAGCAATGTTGCTGTGACTGTCCTCTGCTGCCTGTGTGTCCCTGCCTCGAGGATGCGAAGTGGACACTGGTGCAGAGAGGCAGCTCTGGGGAAGCGGTGGGGAAGCCCCACACAGGCGGGCATCTGTCTGTTTGCAGGGCTGGCTTCAGAATGTGTATGTCCCCCAAAAGGAATGTGCATAGCATGTATCGAAAACATAGACCCATAGAAAGGACAGACTTATAAAAAATAAAATTCAAAAGAACATGTTTTCCTACCTTGGTTTTAAATCCCCTTCATTTTTATTTATTTATTTATTTATTTTTTTTTTTGGTACCGGGAATCAAACTCGGATCCTTGTGCTTGTGAGGCAGGCGCTGGAACCACTGAGCTAAATCCCCCCCCCCCCTTCATTTTTAAATGGCTCCCGGCTGCCCGGTAGAAATCCCAGCTCCAGCCCCAAAGCACGCTGGGCATGGGTCTGCCCCACACAACTTGGGTCCCGGTGCCTCTCCCGCAGCCTGTCCCTCCCAGGGCGCAACCTCCCCGAGCCTCAGGCTCTTCCTCTGCACATGGGGCTGGGGACAGGAAGAGCAGCCCATCCTGGCCTGGAGGCTCGGGCCCCGCATATGGGGAGCCCAGGGAGCTTTAGGGAACAGCCCCAAATGGCTGTCTGTGAGGCCCCAGAGGGCCTTGACCAAGGGAGTCTGGGAGGAAGGAAGAGGGAAGCACAGGAAGTGGCCGCTTCCCCCCTGCACCCCCAAGTTCAGTTCTTAGCAAAGGCAAGTGCCAGGAATCCCTCCCAACATCCCAGGCATGGATGCCGGCTGCGGGCCAAAAAGAAGACAGCAGAGCCCAAGCTGCACTAGAAGTCCGGGCGGCAGCGGCAGCGGCGGCTCCTCCACTCAAACACCTGGGCTGTGGGGTGCCCCAACCAAGGCGCAGAATGGGGTGCAGGGGGCGTTCCCGGCAGAAAAGTGGGCAAGGAGCCTGACAGCAGGGTGGGACGTCAGGAAGGCTGGCATTCATGCCATGGGCAGGGCAGGAAGCATCCTCACTGTCCCACTGCGACAGTGAAGGAGCCGACGTCACGCATTCCGCGCCAAACCTGTGTTCACTGGAGACCACTCTCCTACACCTGGGAGGTCCAATTCTGGTACCACATGACTCCCTGAGGGGCTGAGAGCAGAAAGAGCAAGCTGGGGGCTCTGAGACGCCCTGAAGGCAGCACTCTAAGCTGAGCTGGGTGTGGTGGCACTGTGGAAGGCTGAGGCAGGAGGGCTGCAAGTTCCAGCCCAGCCGGGCAACTCAGCAATTAGGTAAGACCCTGTGGAAAAATACAACACTTTATAAAGGGCTGGGGACTTAGTTCAGTGGGAAGGCCCTTCTCTAGTAATGGGGGAGGAGAAACTAGAGGAGGAGGAGACAAAAAGGAAGAAGAGGAAGAGGAAGAGG